CCGGGGGCCGTGGCCGCCCCTGCTTGTTTCCGCACCAGGCCCCGGCTGCGCCTCCTCCGTGTAAAGCCGCGTTGTCAGACGAGACTATCCAGCGAATAAGTCAAAACCCTGTGCTGAGAACGGGAGCGGGGACAGGCTTCCAAGGAATGTCCTGCTTCGGGTCGAGGCGAGATGGTTAATGGACTTGCTTCTCTTTAGATTTCCTCGCGGCGACGGTCAGTGCCGTGGCAGTTTGTTGAGAGCGGCGAGGGATCTGGCTGGGCCTCTTGTAGGAGGTGTGAGGACTGAGCTGAGACATCAGTAACCTCCGGTCAGAGGTTATTTCTTTTCTTGCTGAGGCCCCTTGTCGCTCTCTGTTCCTCCCCGGAAGCTGTGCGTCCACGTGTGGCTCCAGCTCCCCCAGGGAGCGGGCCCGCCAGGTTCCGGGGATGGAAGCCGGAGGCCTCCCACGGGAGGAGCCTTCGCTGCTGCACAGGGTGGGTGGTTCTATTGTTCTTGCTGTTTCTGTAACGAAGGGATCAGAAGCAAAGGTGCCGTCGGCAAAGCAGTCCTTTTGGAGTGGTCACCAGCGCTGAGTTCACGGCTCATACTAGCGGTGTCACCGGTGAAATGAACCCGAGTGTCTGTCGGTGGTTCAGCCTCACACAGGCCCTTCCCTTCAAATCCGGTTTTTTTTTTCAGGACTCAGAATAATGTTCATTTAAAAAAAAACAGTGGAGCGCACCAGAAAGTCAAAAGACAAGTGTTTTGTACGTTGCCCCAAGTGCCCCCTCGGCCAGCTTGCCCTTCTTCCTCCCAGCCTTAAAAACTAAAGGCATTGTGTCTTTATACCAAAGTGGTGGTCCTGCCACACTGATGAAGTTGGATTCTGTTTCCCGAGGTGGCCCCTCCAGATGGCCTAGGATCTGTAAACGCCGGCCTCTCGCCCCATCCAGGCGTGTGTGTTTTGGGGTGCTCTGCTTAGTGTGGATCAGGAGAGCAGTGAGACTCTGGGCCCAGGCTTGCCAGAAGTGGGTGGTGAGTAGGTGGGATTTGTGGAGGGGCCGGGGAAGGTGGCTGTACTAGGAGGGACACGGAGACACGGATGTGTCATGCAGAGCGTTCATGTTACCTGTGCAGTACCTGGACGAGTCAATGCCCTCTGCCTCCGCCCAGGGGATGCTGGGCAGTGTCTGGCACATCTGTGATTGTCATGACTGGGTGCTGCTAGCATTGAGTAGTTGGGGCCAAGGATGCTGCCCAGCCCCCCACAGCGCC